TCTTGTTCAACTTTATAAGTATAAAAGTGAAGAACTGTACTGATCGGCAAAAAATTGTATTATATACGTACACGAGATGTCTCTAAAAACACATCTATATTATAACCTATTCAAAGACTCCATCGTTGGTTTTCACCAATTCAATGGTATTTGTAGTTATGAGCATGCCAATTGTGCATTAGCAATCATAGCCAGAGCTATTCAATCCAATTGGAAACCTGTTGCCTACTTTTTATTCCTAATACGTGTAAAATTGAATACCTTAATGAGATTGTTCATACTTCATAAAAAAGTTAAACTTTTGCAGGCCTTAATGTATTGGGTATGGTGACTGATCAAGGTTCCAATTTTTTGTCATTCGCAAAAGATAAGGATGTAATAAAACAACAACCTTCTTTTTTGTAGATAATGTCAAAATATATTACTTTGTCGATACACCTCATTTATTAAATCAACTAGAAATATGCTTTTCGAACATAATTTTAATATTAATAATGAGGTAATTGAGAAAAACTATATTGAAATGATGTACAATTATGACAAATCAAAATTTAATCGTTTAATACCAAATGTCAGTGAAACACATATACTGATATAGAAATTCCTGACGTCATCAAATTTAGGATCTAAATTGAACAATACTGGGGTGGTGAATTGTCTGGAAATTAAAATATAAGTTAAAATCAAAATGATAAAAATGAAAATTGTCAGAGATTTGTCAGAAATTGTAAGAGGGGGTATTATATAAGAATTGTTGGAGTTGGATTATGTTAGGATTTTTAGTTATGATGGAGATATTTTTAATTTTAATTGGAAAACTGTATGAATAAAATAAAAAAGGTAAACAAAGTTTTATTTATTTGAATAGTAAAAAATATACAAAATCAAAGATAAGCAGTGACAGACAGGGATTAAGAGATCCAGGGCTGGTAGCAGCAGATTTAGATAGAAGCAGATACACATACAAGACAGGAGAAAGAACAGGTAGAGGCAGGACAGATACACACAGATAGAGATTAGCAGATAGGCAGAGACAAGCGGACAGGTAGAGGCAATAAAGACAAGTAGAGATAAGGAGCTAACGGGAAGAGAAGACTGAGGAATTTAAAATTTATTTTTTTTAGTGTTAATTTTGAAAAATAATAAATTTTGTACAATTTTTAGAGCCGAACCACCCCTTTTTGAGAGTCTGGGCAAAAATTAAAAAAAAAATTGATATAAGGGGGTTTCTATATCAATACATCCCACTCGCTTTTAAGTAATGTCAGTTTCTTTGGCAGCACAAATATTAAGTAACCATGAAGCAGTTGGTCTTGAGCTCTCAATTACCTTTGGTTGTTTGCCCTCAAATGCAATTTATACTGCATCTTTTGTAAGCCAAATGGATGGACTTTCTCTTACATTTGACTCTCAAAAGACATTGAATAAGCCATTCGTAGGAAGTCATGAGCAATTAGACCATTTAATTAAAATGTGAGAATTATTTAGCAATTTGCAAATTATAACTAAAGATGGGAAAGATTTGACAAAAAAAGTAAAAATTTTAAACGGTTGGCAAACTACTATAACAGCTATGATAATGCTATAAGATGATTTAAAAATAAAAGATTGTAAATTTATTTGTACGAGGTTTATAAACAAGGATTCTTTGAAGAATATTTTTGGTAATTTCAAAGATTGTTTAAATTATTTTAAATATAATAAAGGCGCCAATTGTGCACAAGATTTTAATGAATTGTTAGTAAAATTTAATCAGACAAATGTACTAGAGGTAGATTTTCCAGAAAATTATGGAAAAGAGAATATTATTAAAGAAATTTTAACAATAAATAAGAAAGATTATTCAGAGGTTGAATTACCTGAAAAACATGCAGTCTTGGGTAGCAGGGTATCTCATTAAAAAATGTTTGGGAAAATATTCCTGTCCTATTTGCCTGCAATTCTCAAAAGAACAAACCGAACTCACTAATGAAACCGTACTTTGCCAATTGAGAGCTTATAAAAATAATGACCAGAATAAATTTGAAAATTTGATAATGCCACCAGAATCGTTTTATGAGTATACTAATAAACTCGATCAAAAATTATTTCCCACAATAGCTGTAAAAAACGGTGTTGGATCTGAAATAAAACGCAATATAGAAGAAATCAGTTATGTACCTCCTAGCAAGAATTTCCACACCTCATATTTGTAAAATTTATATGTTCGTTAAAGAATATTTTACACTTATAAGTTCACTAGATTTATTTTGTTACAGGTAGCGCCACCTTTTGGTTAATGTCAAAAATAGCAAGATAGCAGTGCATTTCCTATAGTGTTTCAGTTCCAACAATGTCGGTATAGTGTGAAGGTCACCGCAAAGTTAAATTTTATATCCTGATTAAGTGTGATTCTCGCATAATTGTTTACACATTATTATATTTTATTATACCAAACCAAAACAAGACTACTTCCCTGTAAAATAAGCTGGTTATCGTATTTATAAACAAACGTTAAGTCAAGTAGCAGCCATTTTGAATTTAATTGAGACACTGGGGCAGAGAGGACCAGTGCGGTCTGGGGTACAGATGACCAATGCGGGCCTCTGCATCCCATTTATTAATTGTGACCCCTTTTTTTTTGTTTACATTCATTTATTTATTTACCTACATCGTAAATGTTTATTATTTTTAGATGGCACGTAACTAAGTAGAGGATAAATGGGGGACCAAAGGGATGCATTGCTATGGGGAGTCAAAAGGATGCGATGCATTGCGATGGGGGAATCAAAAGGATGCGATGCATTGCGATGGGGAGTCAAAAGGATGCGATTGTATTGCGATGGGGAGTCAAAAGGATGCGATTGTATTGCGATGGGGGGTCAAAGGGATGTGATTGTATTGCGATGGGGGATCAAAGGGATGTGATTGTATTGCGATGGGGGATCAAAAGGATGTGATTGTATTGCGATGGGGAATCAAAAGGATGCGATTTGGAATCAAAAGAATGTGATGAGGGATCAAAAAAGAGTGATGGGGGATCATAGAAAACCGATGGAAAATCAAAAAAGCGATGGGGGAGGTAATGATCAAGGAAAATGACTGAATTAACTGGTTATATGAGAAGGTATTGTTAAGGCTTAAACAAGTCTGAGCAAGTTTATTCAAATAATTCAAAAACAAACAGATATGCATATTCTAGTTTAATTGTTACAATAAGTTTATTACATATATCATTAACATAATCATTTAAATCAATTTCATCACTTATTACATCAACCTCATTAAAACCACGGTATTGAGTGTTTTTATCCTCTACACATTTGTCACAATTATCATTACATTCATTAGGTTTACACAATACATCTTTTTCATGTATTTTGATTACAAGGTTTAAAGATTCATTATATCGTCTCTCAACCTTTGAGTAAATCCTTATTCTTGGAATTGTATTCAATTCGTTTCTCGTATATTCCTTATAGAAATATCCCATACAATCATAAGCATCTAAGAATACCCCGTCAACTTTAATGTATGCATACAACCCCATTCTGTTTAATAAAATGAGGAAAAAGAAAAACATACTTTTAAGTGATGTGATTGTATTGCGATGGGGGATCAAAAGGATGCGATGGGGGGTCAAAAGAATGCGATAGGGGATCAAAAAGGAGTGATGGGGGGTCATAGAGATGTGAGGAGATGATTAGTATTACAGAACTAACCTCCTAATCACGTTAACGTAAATAGTTTTGTAAATATTCACTTCTTCCTTATTACATGAAAATAAAAGCGACATATAAAAGTTAAATATATATTCTAAATAAGATTTCTACTTTACTGAGATAAATTTGAAGCTATTCTTCTATAAACCCTATTTTCTCTTCTAATTACATAGATAAGTAATCCGCATATGAATTGAAAGTCAAATAAGGATCTAAAATAATTTAGAGGTAAATGAATTTAAATAATTTTATTCAAAGGTATTTGTCTCAAACGTAAACAAAGTTATATTTCGTCGAAATATACCCATTAATTATCAGTTTTACATGGTACATGTTTACTTTTTTCGTTATAAATTTATTTCCTAAAATTAATGAAGGTGCAACACACGTATTTCTGCATATAGTGATCTAATTTAAATAATTTTAAGGTCGAGACCATCTCGAATCATTCACCTGATAAAAATGCATAATTTATATACGATAAGCGTCTCATTTATACTGAATACTTAAGTGGTTTAATCTGTTTGTGTCGAACATCTAATCTACTTTTTTATTATAAATTTATTTCCAAAAATAAAATTAATGCAACACATATATTGTTAGGCGTCACGAACTAATTTAAATAATTTTATACCTGACAGATACTAACCCAAACATCTATATATTTCCAAAAATAAAATTAATATAACATATATTGTTGAACTAATTTAAATAATTTTGAGGTCGATACCATCTCGAATCATTCACCTGATAATAATGCATAATTTATGTTTTCAATATGGCAAGCATCTTATTTATACTGAATACTTAAGTGGTTTAATCTGTTTGTGCCGAACATCTAATCTACTTTTTTATTATAAATCTATTTCCAAAAATAAAATTAATACAACACATATATTGTTGGACGTTGAAATAATTTAAATAATTTTGAGGTCGAGACCATCTCTGATTATCTACCTGTGGATAGTAACAATTAAGGTATACAATTTATGTTTCTCAATATGCTAATCAAGCTATTTATACTGAATACTTAAGTGGTGTAATAATTTAACAAAAAGTGACATAAAAAATTAGTTCTTTTTATGCAATTTCTTTTTTATTAGGGCGGTGCTTGAAAAATTAGATTTTACCTTGCTTGTGGGATGGGGGGGTACATTCTTATTGACCTAATATAGAAGGGATGAAAGCAAAAACTCTTATTGGTCGATAAAAAAGCTGTTTGAATGGAGGGATACATTTTGAATTCATTTAAAAGATAGGCTTTAACTTTAAACTTTATTAATACTGTATTATTTTAAAATGAAAGCAAACATTTTACAAAATATAACCTTATCAAATGATGATTCCGATATAGAAGTAACTGACGGCAGTTTTAGTAAAGTTTTACCGATAGGTACAACTAGATGTATTATTATATCGGGGAATAATACATCCGAGGTAAAACCATCATCATCAGGTGTATTAAGGTCCACACAGTATTCACACCCTTGTAACTCTTGGCGTCGAGGGGCAAAAATTTAAAAATCATTAAACAGGAGGCATTTAGTGATATACCCTCATCAGATGAAGAAGAAGAAGAAGAGAAGAAGAAGAACAGGAACAAGAAGAAGACATTCACGAAACATCTACACTTGACGAAACTTTCTGTGAAGAGCGGGATTTAGTACTAGAAAAGAAAACCACAGAAGAATATTTAATAAAATTACAAAAATTTATAAGTGAGTCTAAAGGTATGGTTCCTTCCACGCGGCCGTCGCCTGCGGCTGTCGCACTGCGTTAGCCGCAACGCTCTCCTACGTATGCTTTTAAACGTACCCGGTTCCTTCCGAGCGGCCGTCGTGCGGGTCAGCCGCGAACGACTACGATCGACGCGACTGTACTGCTCGAGAAGCAGTATAGCCGCAGCCGCGAGAGCGTTTGTTGTTGTTTTGTGTGCAATTTTTGGTTTGATTTTTTATTTAGTATATTCGATTGGCATTTTTTGAATTAGAAAAGTACCCAAACATGTCGAAAGTGCTATTTACGGTGACTGAAGATGAACTATTAGTTGAATTAGTGGCAAAACATCCCGCATTATTCGATTTGGCCCATAGTTTATATAAGGATCAGGTTGTCAAAGAAAACGCCTGGAAAGAAATAGCTGAGGCATTAAGCAGATCAGGTAAGATATTAGATAAATAATTAGGTAAATAATGTTAAGTCTAAAATTCAAAAATGTATTTATTGTATTATTAGGTAAAACAACATTAGTTTGTATCTGTTCTTCTGACAGATCCAATTTGCCATGGTACGCTACCCTGACCACTGTTGAAATATTCCTTAAACAGGTCTCTTATATAAAATCCATCTCCATCTGCAAAACCACCACCCCTAGCAAATGCAATGAAATTTCTGGGTGGTGGCAGCTCCTGGTCAATTTCATAAAAGGGTTTATTGGAAGCTTCAAGGAATGCATCTCGAAGGAGGTTATGTAAACAACATGCCACTATAATTAAATCGTCAACTGTTGATGGATTCAAATCAATCATTGTATAAAAAATTCGAAAAATTTGGCTTAGCAATCCAAAGGCATTTTCCGAGACACGTCGAGCCCTAGAAAGCCGGTAATTAAAAATTGCTTTGCGATCGTCAGCGCTGGCTACTGGTCGGGGGAACGGTTTCATCATATGTGTACTTAATCTGAACGCTTCATCGCCTACCAACACGTATGGAAGAACCTGATCAGTGTTTGGTAGCTTGTTTGGAGGTGGAAAAATGGAACCATCCCTGACTTGTTGGCCAATTTTTGATTTATCGAAAATCCCACTGTCTCCTTCTTTTCCATATGAACCAACATCAATAAAAATAAATTTATAATTGGCGTCGACAACAGCAAGCAACACAATGGAAAAAAAGTCCTTATAATTATGAAATAAAGATCCACTGTGTGAAGGACATCGAATTCGTATGTGCTTACCGTCGACAGCTCCTAGGCAATTAGGAAAATTCCATTTTTGGCCAAATTCCTTAGCTTTTTGCTTTTTTTCATCCAATGATAACGGCGGTATGCATAATGAAATAAGGTGTCTTCTTAATGATGATAATGTCTTTTTTATGATTCTGCTAATATAACTATGGGAGACTCTAAACGTGAAAGCTAAGGAACGTAATGACTCACCGGTTGCCAAAAACCTAAAAAAAATATTTGATGATAATTATTATGAAAAATAAAAAATCGATAACAAAATTTTAGTTATATTATTTTATTATATATAATATTATTTTACAATTTCAGTTTACGACTGCAAAAAACGTTGGAAAAATATTAAGGATACCTACAATAGAAGAAAAAAAAGGGGGAAAACCACAGGTTCTTCTGCATTGCCCAAACATGCGAAATGGGCTTTATCAGATATGTTGTCCTTCCTGGACCAAACAGAGCACAAACGCCCGTAAGTTCTTTTTCAAAAAGTACTGTAAATATAATATACGATTTCAATTTTTTTTTCTTGGTAGAAGTACATCTCTCGGAACTGATCAACACGAAGAGGACTTTATGAGTGAGGAAGACACTGAAAATAATATTGAGTCGGGGGAAGTGTCTCAAGAATCATCTCGTTCAGGTAGTTCTACCTCTGTCCTGACAGCAGACATTAACCCGACGCTAAACAAGGGAGCGGGTGCAATAAAAAAACAATTTTCCAAATCAAGTAGCAACAGAAAAGAGAAGATAAATGAAGACATAATAGCTACAATAAGAGAAAGAAGTGCTGAAAGAAATGAAATCTTTAAAAAAATTGGTCTAAACAAACCAGATTCTCTGGACTTGTTTTTCCAGAGCATTGCAGCCTCAGTAAAAGCATTAAGACCCGAGTTAATCAATGAAGCAAAATTACGAACAATGCACCTGATATTCGAATTAGAAGAGAGAAATGCATCGATTCCGCAACCAAATGCTTTTGAACTTTCACCAGGCCCAGCAACCCCCTCTGCTCCAAATTCAGGCAATATACCTACGATTTACAATTCTCCGTCATCAGACAATTACTTATTAGATCTAGATAACTTTCAATCAAATAACTCCAATTTTTAAATTTGTTGAATCCATTACTCATTACTTTTTTGAAACTTGTGTTTATTTTGTTCTTATTTAGTTTTTTCTTTTAGTTTAATAATAATAAATATTTAATTGACACGTTAGGCATTTTATTTAAACATACTGACTTAATTACTTACCTTAATATAATGGCTAGTTGTTCCTCTGGGGTTATGGGATATTGAACTCTGTTGTATGGCTCGGTTTTTATATCGTCTTTTATTAAGTCGAGAAGAAAATTAAACTGTGCTTTATTGAACCTAAAATATTCTCTAAATTTTACATCATCCTGCAGCAGATGCCGATTTATCAGTGTAGTGTAACATCCCTCATCGCGTCTTTTTTTAAATATTGAATTTACAGGAGCATTGCTATTTTTTAGATTGGCTAATTGTAATAATATTTCTTCATCCTCCTCTTCTTCTAGTAATAAGTACATTATGAGATTATCCATCACGACTTTCACCAAAGAGAGTTCTCTTTATACTGATCGTTCACGAGCTTGAGTCGCGACGCGATGCGATGCTAAGAAACCACTCGATAGAACGGCGGCCGCTCGCGATAGTCGCGTTGCGGCTGCCGCATGCGACGGCCGCGTGGAAGGAACCATAGCTTAAGCAAATTGTTGAAAAAAAAAAAAATTAAAACGAGCGTCTCTGCTTTTAAAACAATAATATTCGACCTGACCAAATTTACAGCATTGATGAAACTGGGGTAAATTCGGTACCTGTTCTCAGAAAAATATTGGCACAAAAAGGAAAGAAACAAGTAGGGCGTGTAGTGAGAACTGAAAGAGGTTTTAATGTCACTGCAGTTTGTGGAATTTCAACTGCAGGATCATACATTCCACCATTTTTTATTTTTCCTCGGCAGCGAATGAGCCCATTATTCATGAAAGGATGTTCACCAGGTGCAGTTGGTTATGCGAATGGTTCTGGATGGATGGATTCCGATAATTTCATCAAGTATTTGGACCACTTTATAAACCATGTGAAACCGGACCCGAACAATAAAATATTATTAATTCTCGATAATCATAACAGTCATAGGACGCTAGTTGCAATAAATAAAGTAAGAGAAAATAATATTATAATGGTTTCTCTTCCACCCCATACAAGTCATCTACTACAGCCCCTTGATTGCAATGTGTTTGGACCAATATTCAAAGGAGTGTGATTTATGGCACACTAATAACCCTGGATCTCGCATGTCATTATATGACATCGTTGAAATTTTTTCGAAGGCATTTCTACACATTGCCATTATGGAGAAAGCCGTAAAACAAATAAATGAAAGTAGAGTCAAAAATTTAACTCGTAAAGAAAAAAAG